CGTAGCTTCCTCTTGGCGATCAGGACGGCGAACAAGAGCTTCTAGATTTGTGGGTAGCGAGTTTTGGAGTCAGACAAGACCTCGCTAACGAAGTATACGGGGCATTGCACTTTGAGGGCGTCTCCCTCCTCCTCCCGCTCTACCACTAGGGCGGCACTGACCACTTGTGTGGTGGCTGCGATGTAGAGCAGGAGTGGTTCTCCATCGATCAGGGGGCCTAGGATTGGGGCTTTCATTAGGATTTCCTTAACTTTGTCGAGTGCCTCCTGAACCTCGGGAGTCCACGCAAACCGATCGGTCTTCTTTAGAAGTCGGTACAGCGGGTGGCCTCGTTCGCCGAGGCGTGAGATGAAACGACTAAGTGCGGCGAGGCACCCCGTGACTTGCTGCACTCCCTTTAGATTCTGGATCGGACCCATCCTCGTGATGGCCGAGATCTTCTCTGGGTTGGCTTCGATGCCGCGCTTGGAGACGATGAACCCAAGCAGCATGCCCCTCAGAACCCCGAAAATACATTTTAGGGTTGAGTTTGATGTCGTTTGTTCGTAGTTTTGTGAAGGTCTGCTCTAGGTCATCTATGAGCTGGTCGGTCCATTTGTGCTTGACCACGATGTCATCTACGTAGGCCTCAATGGTTCACCCGATGAGGTCTCTGAAACACTTGAGCATACATCGCTGGTATGTAGCTCCTGCGTTTTCAGACCGAAAGGCATTGTGACATAGCAGAACGACCCGAACGGGGAGATAAAAGAAGTCGTGAGCTGGTCGGACTCTTTCATGGTGATCTGATGGTACCCGGAGTACGCATCAATGAAGCAGAGGGTTTCGCACCCCGAGGTCGAGTCGACTACTTGAACTATACATGGCAAAGGAAACAGATCCTTTGGACACGCCTTATTGAGACTTGTGTAGTCAACACACATTCTCTATTTCCCATTCTTTTTTCATACAAGGATGGGATTGGCTAACCACTCGGGATGATATACTTTCTTGATGAATCTAGCCGCCAAAATTTTTGTGATCTCTTCGCCGATGGCCCTGTGCTTCTCCTCATCGAAGCGGTGCAGGCGCTGCTTTAGCGGTTTGGAGCCTGGCTTGATCTTCAAGGCGTGCTCGATGACTTCCCTCAGGATGTCTAGCATGTCCGAGGGTTTCCACGCGAAGATATCTCTATTGGCGTGGAGAAAGTCGACGAGCGCGCTTTTCTATTTGGAGGAAAGTGTGGTGCCGATACGCACCACTTTGCCCTTGGAGCTACTGGGGTCTATGAGGACCTCCTTGACGCCCTCCGTGCGCTCAAAGGATCCAGCCGACCGCTTGGAGTTAGGTGCCTCCTCGGTAGTCCCTTCCTTGATGACCGTGAGCTCCTCGGAGGTGATGATTGCCGAGGCATGCTCGTAGCACTCAACCTCTCACTCGTAAGCGCGTTGGAAGGTGGTGCCAATGGTGATGACCCCACGTGGGCCTGGCATCTTGAACTTTAGGTAGGTGTAGTTGGGGACGGCCATGAACTTTGCATAGCATGGTCGCCCTAGGATGGCGTGGTAGGTCCTGTGGAATCCGACCACCTCGAAGGTGAGGGTCTCCGTCCTGCAGTTGGTCGGATCCCCAAAGGTGACAGGCAGGTCGATCTGCCTAAGCGGTATGGCTTGCTTCCCCGGCATGATACCGTGGAAAGGCGCCCCGGTCGGTCAGATGCGCAACCGGTCGATGCCCATGGCATTAAGTGTCTCAGCGTACATGATGTTGAGGCCGCTACCTCCATCCATCAGTACCTTGGTGAGGCGCTTCATAACGACTATCGGGTCGACCACGAGCGGATACCTCCCTGGCTGTGGGATGCTATTCGGTTGGTCGGATCGGTCGAAGGTGATGGCGGACTCCGACCACCGGAGGAAAGATGGCATGGCCGATTCGGTCGCAAAGACCTCGCGGCGTGCGATCTTTTGGCGGCGCTTAGAGTCATAGGCCGCCATCCCACCGAAGATCATGTGGCAGCCGTCTAGGGTCAGAAAGCCGCCATCCTTCCTCTTGGCGTCACCTGACGCCGGCTCAGGCTTCTATCTCTGGTTCCCCTTGTCGGAGCCACCAGACACGAACCGCTTCATGAGGGCACAGTCCTTGTACAGATGCTTGACGGGGAAGGCATGGTTCGGGCATGGCCCCTCGAGCAGCTTGTCAAAGTGGTCGGGAGCATTCTCAGCGGGTGCCCGACCACCTTTTCACTCGGTAGCAGCCATGAGCGAGCCCTCATGCTGCTGCTTGTTCTTCTTCTTGTTCGGACGGTTAGAGGGGCCCACGTCAGTGTCCTCGTCCCGCCTCGCTTTGCCTTTGGAGTGATCAAAAATCGCTCCGACCGCCTCCTCTCCTGAGGCATGGCTAGTCACAATGTTGAGGAGCTCCTTGGTGGTCTGAGGGCCCTTACATCCTAGCTTGTGGACCAGGGACTTGCAGGTGGTCCCAGAAAGGAAGGCTCCGATGACGTCGGCATCAGCGACATCAGGCAACTCATTGCATTTCCTGGAGAAGCGTCGAATGTACTCACGGAGAGTCTCTCCGGACTTCTATCAGCAAATTTTTAGATCCCAGGGGTTCCCAGGGCGTGTGTAGGTGCCCTAGAAGTTTCCCACAAAGATCTCCTTTAAGTCCACCCAACTTTGAATTCGGTTGGGCGAAAGGTGCTCTAGCCATGTTCGTGCCAAATCGGCCACGGACAAGGGGAGGTTGCGGATAATGAAGTTATCACTATTCGTGCCGCCGGCTTGACAAGCAAGCCGGTAGTCCTCGAGCCACAAGCTGAGGTTTGTCTCCCCGGAGTACTTCGGGGCGTTGGTCGGTGGTCGATATCGATGCGAAAAAGCCATGTTGAGGATGTGTCGGCATTGGCGATGTTGGCGGTGCGCACTAGGTCCTGCACGGTGGCAACAGAGCGGATGAGCCCCACAACCTCTGCCTCGATGAGCGCATCACGGGGCTTGGTGTTGCCTTTGATGATAACGTCATGGACGCGGATGCCAACGGGGGCTTTCGACAGACGCCGAAACACCGCCTCCACCTTCTCTCTCGCCGCTGCTTCTGCCGCCTCCCCGTCTAGCTCCTCTTCATCCTTGTACTCCACGTCCGCATTAGGTTCCCCATGGTTAGGGTACGCGGGTGCCTCGATGGATTCGCCCGTGGCCTCGTTGGGTACAGGGTTTGGGTCTTGATCGGTGACAGAATCCGCCATGATCGCTATGGCTGGCTAGGGTTTGAGGGGAATAGTACGATTGTGCGAAGGGAATCATTCCTCGATAGTGGGATGGAATGCAGGTTTTAGGGTTTTTTTTCTTGTTGCTCTATACTACTAGAAGGCCCATTTGCATTTGCATATGGGCCTCATATATCGGATAACCATTCGGCCCAGCATGGCCCGAAGTTCAGACACAGGCCTGTGATATGCACAGAATCAAGGATCAACAATGGAAATGAAACTTCCCCGTTATTCATCTCAATCCACATGGGTTAAAGTGGATTGGAGTGGTATTGAACTAAATTCAATTTCAATCCACTCCAATACATGTGGATTGAGGTGGATACACATGCATCCAAACAAGGCCTTAGCAACTAAACTCTCCTGCCTCTAGCATGAACTTTGAATCTTTTCGTCCATTTTTTGGTTGAAATAGAGGATTCCACTAAAATTTGGAAGAATTCAAAGTTGCAACAAAAATTTAGGAGAAGGTTAAACATGACAGTCGTTGGAAGTTCAAATAACATCAAGAGAGAGAAAAAAATAGTTTCAACAATTGTTCACACGGGAAGGACTAGCGGGGGGACTGAACCACAGTCCACGAGGGCGCCGTGGGATCCAATTGGCATGATCGTCTCCTTCCTTTCGGTCGGCAGCCTCCGCCATTAAGAAGCTCTTGAGCACACTCACGGGGGAAGTGAGCAAAGGAGCTCTGACACGCCACCATCCACGACGCTACACCCCAACAGCCCCTCTAATCTTCTACTTTTCGCAGAAAACAATTGCGTCGGTGGAATCGGATCAACGGCTTTGGCTACAGTGTCTTCATGTGCACTCTTAAACATCCCCCGCCGCCACCTAGTATATGCCGGCGATGCATGCTCACGCACAGTAGTTACAGTTCTGCTCCGCCTGGACCGTGACATAATCCATGGATCACATCATCACCAAGCGCACCATGGAGAGCGAGTGCAACAATGCCGATGGGCAGCCGCCACCGCCGCTGCTCGACTCACCGCTGCCCATGCCTCGCCGGTCATGCACCTCTATCGACGCGCTACGAATGTGCTGCCGCCGCGATGCATCGCCGCTGCAGACGCAGGTGCCGTTCTCCTGGGAGAGCTCCCCGGGCGTGCCCAAGAACAGCGCGTGTAAGAAGGCGCAGGCGATGCCGCCATCGCCGCCGCCTGGGCGCCTACTACAGCCGTACCTCGCCAGGAACTTGTACTACGGCAACACGAGCGTGTTAGTGTTGATCTCTCCAGCTCGGCCCAATGGCCGAGCCAGGCCTTGACCTCACGCCCTGATCAGGGGCGCCCAACCCTATATGGTTGGTAGGCCCTATCGCAGTGATCTATATAAAGAGGTGGGGGCCGGCGACTCGCAATACGTGGTTCACCGTGAGCCGCCACACCCACCAACAAAACCTAACCCTATCTAGTGAAGGGCGCAGCCAGCGACGGGAAGCACCATCACCGGGACGCCGTCGCCGTTGGACCACTTCACCGCTACACCACACTGGAGCGCCACGTCTTCACCGTCCTCTCTACTGACACGATGGACGGTTCCAGCTCCACCAAGCCCTCCGATGATCAGTACCTCTGCTCCTCTCTTCCTCTTGGATCTCATCGTCCATGTTTTAGGGTATGTTTATCCTATTCTAGTCAAGTCAGCACTCCTAAATCTACATCTAATGATACTGTAATTTTAATAGAGCGAGGCGAACAGCGACGACGACGATGACAATAGGTCCTTCTCCGACGCGCTGGACATGAACTCCTTGCCGGAGCGGACCGGCTCGTTCGACCGGGTCACGTCGAAGTGCTTCGAGGACATCTTCGTCGGCCGCACCACGAGCTTTGCCAAGGACCGGACCCGACACCTTGGCGCGGAGGCCACCGACTTGTCGGCCTTGGGCAGGCGTCCGAGACAACCACGTCCGGAAAAGACGCGCCGAAGTCACGACGAGGACCATGACCGTCGGTGGACGCTTAGGCTCCTCAACGACAACGTCCCCATGCAATCGATCGCGGCGGATCAAAATGGATGCGACGCCGAGGAGATGACCCCAAGAGCTCTGTGGCCTCATGGTGTTCTTCCCCAGAGCGCAAAGCCGGTGATCGCGATTTCAGAGCCCGGTATGCGCAAAGACGCGACGACGCACGACGACTCTCGCTAGAGCCGAGCCGCCTTCACCTTCGTGACGATTGGTGGTCACCACCACCCTACGCGATGTCATCAAGGAAGATAGCCAAAGCCGTTAGCGGCGACATGCGGCAGCGCGCGTGGAGAAAAAAGGGGCGCGCGACCGCGACGACTTGCCGAGCCGTCGATGGGGTGTGTTGTCGTTGCTTGACACGAGCAAGAAGTAATCGCGACCGACGCACGCGAAGGCTCGAGCAAGCTCTCCATCGGACTAGGAGCGGACGGCGGCAAATTTCTGTGGTTAGCGGCGAGAACAGGAGCGGTAAGTCGCGCACGGTGGTTTCTCATCAACGCCGGCGATGCTCGTAAAGTCGACGCAATTGAAGGCTAATGTAAACCGAGGTGGCTTGAGTGAAGAAATTCTCAGCACATATAGGTATGCACATTCTATGATCTGATGTCCTGATAGATACAATAAATACAGGAATGCTATACAACACATGTGTGTTTCTTGGTTTGTTGACACATGGATTTTGTCTCCATTGGATCGTCTCGCGCACGTCTGCTGGACGTTGGATGTGGTCTGCTATCTTTGCCTCTGACCTGTGGACCTGTATGTCGGCGCTAGTTTTGATTTTTTGGGAGTCGCGCCCGATTCAGTGGTGCCCCCCCTCGTTTCGGCTTCTTCCAGGCGACTCCACGCGACGCGCCGCTCTCCTTGGGCGGCCGACCGGCGAGCTTTCCCTCCCACTCTCCCAGTGACCCAGTCCCAGATCTGCCGCTCCTCTGTCTCCTCCGGCTCCCTGGCATCCTTCCACCACGCGTGGAGCACCGGCTGCGGTGTCGTTGGCGCTGGTGCATCCCCTTCTCCTTCCCTTCAGCACCACAGTGGCCCCAGTGGAGGAGCGGCGCACGCGCTGCAGCGGCAGGGGAGCAGCGTGCGCGGGGCAACGGCGGTGGAGCAGTGCACCCTGGCGGTCGTCCCGCATTTCTCGCCGGCGGAGACGGACGTTTTGGTTCATTTTGTGTTCATCTGGTTTGTGGAGGTGGAGGCGGACGTTGAGGCCAAGGCCGAGGCCGAGGTGTAGCCAGAGGTGGAGGTGGAGTCTAATGTGGACCTGGAAGCAGAGTCTGAGCTCGAGTCTTCTCCGTTGTCGATTTCTCTCGCCGGTGAGTTTTTGGATTCAGTTTTCGATTAGATGTTGTAGATCCGGTTTCTGTTGATATGATTTTTGCTCCAATGTTGTGTACGCTGATGCTTAGGCTTAGGTTTAGGCGTCTCCTACTGCAGATGGTGTCTTCGCCGGTCGGTACCCGATCCTCCAGTCCGTAGTAGTCGGTCTCCTCCATAGCCTACTCTTCTATCCTTTGTTTTCCCTGCACTCCTGAGACTCACGTCCCTGCTGTTTGGTCAGCGCAAATAGCTCGTCGGAGCTGTTGTCGAGCAGTCTCTAGAACTAGCACGGCTGATAGAAACAAAGGAAGAGGTAGTTTGTGCCAGCCCAATTTCGCAGGTAATTACTAATGACCTTGACCTGTTCAAGGAGTTAGATCTAGGTTGTCCTCTGGTCGGTGCTGTCAGTTTGTCAGAGTAGATGAATTTAAGAGCTGCAATATAAGTGAATTCCTGGTTAGCACTTGGATCGTGAAATTGATTTTTCCGTCCATGTGTTTGTCCCATTGGGCAAATTGGTGACCAATGGGAAGATTTTCTTTACTTGAAATTAATAGTTAATTCGTATGAAAAGGAGCAGGGGGGGCTTGCTAATGTTTATGACAGTAGAAGCTTATTCATCTACTGTAGTGCCAAGGCTCTGGAGGGGAAAATATACGTTGAGTTAAATTTTTTTTGACCTGTGTCACAGGCCAACAGTTTGCCTCGTTGTGGTTGGGATAAAAGTGTCGTTTGTGGCAGCCTAATATTCGACAGGAAAACAAATAATGATACTAATGGAATTTATTATAAAATAATTTGGCACACATAAAGGACAAGATTAGTAAATTTTGGTGTTGTTTGTTAGGCTTTTGTTTTTTCCTGTGAGCAATTTTATCTTGTATGTGTTATTCGTCTTTAGATTTCTCTGTTTCTATGCTTGTTCTAAGATTACCTGATATTGTAATTGTTTGTTCATGAGATGGGATCATTGGTTTCCTTCCTGTTCATTGTAATTTGATCTTTGTTTTTGGCTTGGTCATTGACCTGTAATAATTTGTTATTCTATTATGTGCTTTTTTGTCCAACGACAACTTCACATCATCTGAAATTCTTATTAATAGCAATGGCAACAGCTGGTCTTATTATTCTGAAACATTGTCCATTCTTTGCTGCAGGTCTCTCCATGTGGACTTTCACTTCCGGTGCTTCCAGGTACACTACATTCTCTACATCGGAATTTTGTTTTTTTTATTATGTGTTTGTTGAATATAATCTTTCTTTGTTGGCAAATTTACTATTATATGTACTATGAATTTGATTTTTTTCATTTACACTAGAATTCTTCTATATTTACGGTGCTTAATCTGTTGTAATTGCTAGGTATTATTCTTGTAATTGCTAGGTTAAAAATACTATGTGAAAAAGTTTATTAGGCTCATGTCTGATTCATAATTTGATTTCAGTGTATTTACTTTGATTTGGTTGTTTGGTTCGTGCACTGCCCTCAGTAAGTTTTTGGTTTTTGAATTGCATACAACTTTTTTTTCTTTTATTTGTTTGGTTCAAGCAGTTTGCACATGTTCTGTTTCATTCTGATATTAGTCTTTCTATTATTATTTTTTGTTTGTGTAACATATATTTTATACATCTAGTACTTGTTAGAAGCATTAGTCCTTTTCTTGTGTCCGACTGCTTGTCTCCAATTGGTTGACAAGGACGAAATGTGGTCTAGAGCTTATATTTTGTTGTACTTGTTCATCTATCGTTCAGGGTTTTTTTTTCCCAGTTTTGCATTTTTAGACTATATGTTTGGTGTTTCTGATCTTGCTTTCTTGTTGTTAAATGTAGTAGAAAAATCTATATATATAGTAAGAAGAATGGTCCCACCTGATAAATGCACTTAATTAATTTACTATCATGTTACTATGGATTAATTTTGTAGTTACACTAGAGTTTAACTACACTTACAGTTCTTAATCAGGTGTAATTTCTAGGTATTATTCATGTAAGTAGTAGTAAGTCCAAAAAGTTTATTAGTCACATGTTTGGCTACTATTTTTGAGTGGACCATGTATGCTTTGGTGTATTTTTGATTGAGTCAATACCCTCAGTACCTCTTTAATTCCAATAGTCTTGAGTGTGGTTTGTTTGTTTGATGCAATGGTCTCATAATCTTTCTGGTATTTTGCATTCCTTAGAAAATTTGTGTTTTTTTGTTTTATTAATTTGATTTGTTTGGTTCATGCAGGCCCTTAGTAAAGTTTTGGTGTTTGCAATCCATAGAAAACTTTGGTTTTTGTTATCTACATATTTCTTTTGTTCTCTGTTTCTCGTGCTCCGGTTTTTTGTTCATTTGTTATATTCTTTATCATTTTTCCTCCTTTGATTTCAGTTTTTTAATGTCAGGTTTGATATATTGGCTCCAAATGTCCTTCTCCCTCAGTATGTATGGAGTCTCTCACTTAAACATCTAAGGTACTGCTCCACTACTTCATTCATCTGACATAGTGTTTCTTATTCTTTTGCTCCGAGACTTTTGCAAATTTTGAAATGTTTGTTTCCTACTTTTGTTTGTATTTTCCTATATTTGTTGGTACTTAAGGTAATGCAACCTTACTTTTTATCTGAATTTTTGTATTGTTCATAAGATTCCCTTTTCATTCATTGCTTTTACGTTGTCTGTCAATTTTTCAGTAATTTTAGCTTGACATTGATAGTAGTCATTCTGTGTTAATGTACTTAGACCAGTAAGAAGGTTTGGCTCCTCCTGATAATGCACTTACACTAGAGTTCAACTACACTTACAGTGGTTAATCAGGTATAATTTCTAGGTATTATTGATGTAACTAGTATTAAGTGAATGTTTTTTATTATGCACATGTTTGGCTAATATATTTTGAATGGACTATGTTAGCTTTGCTGTATTTTGATTGAGGCAATGTCCTCAGAACCTCTTTAGTTTGAAACTTTGAATTGACTTTTTTTATTTTGATTTGTTTGTATGATCAATGCTCTCAGAATTACTTTGACTTTGGAATTCATAGAGAATTTCTGGTTTTTTGGTTTCTTTTTATTTGCTTTGCTATTATAAATATTTGTTCAAAGTATAGGCAGAGTATTTATTTTTTCCTGGGTTAATTCTATTTTTGTAAGTCAGGATTCTTGTATAGCATTTTTTTTATTTTCTAGTTGATGATTCTCATCTTGCTTTCTTCATGGCAAATTTAATATTATATGAGCTTTGAATTAATCTTTTTGTTTATGTTCTTCTGGTATGCTGAGGCGGAGGCGGAGCTAGAGGAGGAATCATTTCCGATGCTGATTTGGCTTCGTCGGTGAGTATTTCATTCAGTTTTTGATTAGAAGTTGTAGATCTGGCTGCTTTTGTTCTGATTCTAATTTTTGTCACCGTTTCTTTCTTCCTGTGTGTGGCCCTCTGTTTTGTGGATGTTCAGGCAGAGGTCAAGACGGAGGCACTCGCTGATGGTCTTTCTGTGTCGTCAGTGAGTATTCCTTGCAGTTGTTCCTGACATTTTGTACATGCGGTCATTGTTGTAGTCATTCTGATTTGATTTTTTTTCCTTATTTATGTGCTCGTTCTTGAAGGGCGGGCCTAGTGCAAGCGGTAGAGTCTTACCGCCTATGACCGGAAGGTCCCGGGTTTGAGTCGCGGTCTCCTCGCGTTACACAGGCGAGGGTAAGGCTTGCCACTGACACCCTTCCCTAGACCCCGCACAGAGCGGGAGCTCTGTGCACTGGGTACGCCCCTTTTTTAGTTTCATCGGAGGTGGCTCCGGATTATACTTTGTACTTTGTGAAGCTTTCTTTGTGGAATGCCGGTTATGGAGCCAGTAAACGTTGACCAGTTGAGTGCTTTT